GCCTAAATCAGAGGGGTCAGTCCAAATCTGTAAGTAAATTAATATTAGCTAGGGTAATGTTGATACCACTGGTCATTGTCAGAGGCCTAAATTTAATTTTATTTATGAGACTAGAATTGAGGCATTATTAATATATTTTGATTTTTCATTACAAGCAAGTTGTCCAGTGTGAAAGAGAAGGGGACTTTTTTGTGTGTGTTTTTAAATGTTGAGATGTTTTAAATGTCAAAGCTATCGTGTTTTGGTTTGTTTGTTTGGTTTTTTTTGTGGCTAGGTTTGAGGTCCTCTTCTGTGGCAGTGTGTAGGACAGACCTGAAGATCATCTTACGCCTCAGCTTGCCACAAACAGCAGACAGCAAAATGACAGTCAGGTAAAACCCAAACAGTCTTGCTTAGCTTTTCCACCTTCGCTGACCTATGAAGGTCAAAAGTCTGAGGAGGGCAGGATGCGTGAAGTTTTGCTTGTATCATTTCTGTGTATGAGAAACTTAGTTTCTACTCCAGTTTCATTTTGTTGAAGCGTTAGATATGGGTGGGTACATGCCTGGTGCAGCAGGAGACATATCCTGTGGGAAGGGGAGAAGATGTCTTTCCTTTAGGCTTAGATAGCAGGAACAGTTGCTGCCTTGGCAGAGTCAGTCTGTAAAGGGCAGTTGTTTCACCCTAAGTGCACGAGTAACAGGTTTTAAAACAGTGAGTGGGGAGATGGGGCAAATTTACTGCATGAGTAAGTGGGTGACATGGAATAGTAAGAAGTTTGCCAAGTAGAGAGAGGTCAGGCCATTGGGATGATGGAGTGAATGGGAGCAGGTTGATGGTAGTGAGAGGGAGCAGTGTAAGGGCGCTTGAACAGTGGGAATAGCAGTGGGAAGTCTTTTGTGAAGCACTGCATAGTATAGCTAGTTCATTGTGTGAAGATGTGAAAGGTGTGAAAGACGTTCAGCTTGAGGGTGGCAGCTATAGAGGAGGTACACTCTTGTTTTATAGATCAAGAATTGGGAGGGGGTGGTAATGAGAGACTGAAAATAGGGTGTGAAGGGGATGGAAACAGTAATAAACAGGGAGAGGATGGCAGCGAGTGGCTTGCTATTTAAAGTGAGTGCCACAGAAGGTGACAAGGAGGTACATAGAAGGTAGTGAATGTTTTGGGGCTGGCAGTGGCAAACCCAAGGACCACGTAGTTCAGTCCACCTCTTACAATAGTCAGAGTTTGCCAGGCCAAGGTAAGATAGAAAGACCATGGGAGGTGATGTTTGTGCCAAGGCAAAGCCCTGCTCATCCATCCCACGCAGGGCTGCGGTTCCACACGAGCTGTGAGCAGGCATTTGCCGCTCAGGGGCTGCTCTGCTGAGCGCCGGTGGCGGCGGGCCCGACCCCGGGAGCTCCGGTGACCCGGTTCCCACAGTAGCTGGCAAGGCAGCCTGTGGCGAGCAGGGAGCTGGGATCATCCCGCAGCGCCTGTGGCTGGCCGCTGTCCGGGAGATGCTCCGCCGACGCCGAGCAGGGGGATGCTGCTGCCGAGGGCAGCTGCCCGAGAAACCCGGGAGCTGCGGCAGCCCCGGGAAAGGGGCCCGGCCCGGCGGCGGAGGGGTGGTAGAAGACAGCGCAGCCCCGCGAGGATGCGCGTCCTCCCGGGCCGGACGGGGCTGATGCCGCTCCGCGCCGCTCTCCCCAGCCACGCGCAGCCCCCGCTGGGCTCCGGTGAGGGGCTCCTCTCCTCGGGGCGTGCCGGAGCTCCGGCGGCCGGCTGCGCCTGCCTGGGGCGGGCGGTGCGGGGCTGGCGAGCGGTGCCGGTGCCGTCCCGGTGTCGCCCCCGCCCGCGGTGCGGCGGAAGTGACGGGCGCGGCGCTGCCGGCGGAACATGGCGGCGGCGGCGGCCGCGGGGCAGCGCGGAAGGTAAACAGGCGTGAGGGCGGCGGGACCGCGGCACAGCCCGGGTCGCGCTGCGAGCGCCGCTGCCCCGGCGGGGGCGGCTCTCACCCCCCCCACCCCCCCCCGAGCGCGGCCCGCCGGGAGGAGGGAGCCCAGGATCTCCCCCTTCCTCCGCCTCCTCCTCCTCCCGGCTTCGCCTCAGCCATTGCCCCTCTCCGCAGCCCCCGCCGCCTCCCCCCGCCGCCCCGGCTGTAT